TCATAAACGTTATCCTCATGTTGGAAAAGAAAAACGGCACAGAGATCCAACAAAGTAATCTATTTTATTTATAAGAATAACATTTTAATCATTTGATTGATAGGAAAGTTGTAATAGATGAAAACACAATCGAGAGCAAGTTTCGTTCTCAGTCAACTGTTAGATTTCGTTAAATTGAGTTCTATAACAATTTTAAGATGTTTAGTGTGTACCAGTATCTCTTTTTAGTGTGTGTCTTTTTTAGTGTGTATCTCTTTGTGTGTTTGTGTGCGTGTGAACAGGGCTCTGTTTTAATTTTAAATTTAAATTTTAAAACAAGTAACTGGGTATGGTACATTGTAAAAAAAATTTACGCAACACAAGGGTACATGCTTTTCAGTAAAAGTGACTTTATTCTTATTATAAATGAAGAGATATCAGTTTAGTTTCATGTCCATTAAGCTCTCTATACACCAGCCAACATGTTGCTAGCAACATTTGTGGTTACTTTGATCTTGAAATCAATATGTTGTTAAAAAAGAAATCAGTTCAATTTTTGCAACAAGTTGCTCAAAAGATCAAAGTAACCACAAATGTTGCTAGCAGCATGTTGCCTATTGTAGAGTTTGTTATTTAAGGAGTGTCACCTTCCGCTGTATCGTCAGTCTTTGTAGGCTCTACTGTGTACAGCAAACAGTCATCAATGCCAATAACGTATTCCTTACTCTTGTGTCTTCTTCTCTTGGTGTGTACCACCTCTGCCACTAGTCATGGAGAAGGAGAGAGTAGCAGTAATGGTTGTACAGTGTCTGATACCAGCTACCTAATATCTGCTATCAATTCAACTGAAGGATACAACCTCACTAGAGCAATCATCAACTGTCTAGAGTATTCAGATAATAGGAGTACACTCTCTTTTGGATCAATATCTTATGAAACTATGGCTGGTACTAATGGACGATACACTGTACAGTGTAACAGTGGATTATTATTATTATCTGTCAGTGATTTTTGGTTCAGCGAAGAGAGTTCTTCATGTTATGAATGTGTGGATGCTGAAGATTCTTGTGTATCAGGAACAGGTAGGAAAGCAAACAGATGCAGCATTATGTTATCTGGAAGCATAACCTAAAACAGATATAGTATTCAATGAGTTATTCATAACTATTAGAACATTTTTTATCATAGAATGTACCTTTATTCCTTCTCTGATAGATTGTCCACAGTATTGTGATCATTGTTTATCTGCTTCAGAGTGTTTGCACTGTACTTATGCAAGATATAAAGGACTGTGTCTTCCTAATACTAGCTGTCCTAATAATGGAGTCCCTAATCCTATGAATGGGAATGAATGTGAATGTACCCAAGAATTCAGTGGTGATAACTGTAGCGGTAATTACTGAATAGTGCTAGAATAACTATTATTATATTAAAATAGTTTGTGCATTAACTGAATGTGAGATTGGATACACTTTGAATAATCTTACCAACAGCTGCCAATGTGTCGGTGAGCAATACCTAGTTTTTTTGTGCATAGTATATTATGTTAGTCCACATGCATGCTGTGAACAATTTTTAATTGTCTTATGAATGCATTTAATACAATGATGGTTTATTTAACTGGCAAGTGTGAACTTATTGTGTTAACTTTTTCCATAGAATCATGTCCATCAGGTAGCACAGAGTTGTGTCAATCAGGTTGCAAATTCCTTGTTGATCCAAATTCAACAGTACCACAAAGTGTCATTGGATCACCAGGTAGATCTGTGATTTGTTTCCCATAAAATTTCTCGCATAGTGTCAGCAGCTTCTTGTTGGTAGATTTTAAAGTTGCTCAAAAACCTGGCCAAAAAGACGCTGTATTATAGTGCAGAGTATTTGTCAATAATGGCTAGGAGAGCGTTTTTGATTTTTATAGTTTATCTGATACATATACATAATACTGTGTTGTGTTACTCTAAAACCCAAGTGTGCTTTTTTTGCATGCTCACTTAGCATGCTTTGTGCAGCATCATTGTTTAGTTAAGTTAACATTTTATTTTGTATAGATGATGTAGGAGAAGGTGGAGGTCATCATAAGAGAGCAAGAGGAGGAGGAAACGACTCACATGGTACCAGTGATACTGATACTGATAGAGCATTCTGTGTACAGAGATGTTTAAATGATTGGGAACCTGATAGTAATGGTGTCTGTTATGGTAAGTCATGCAACTCCTGCTCATTGAATTACACTTAATCTCTCTCTTTCTTTGTATCTCTTCTTCATAAAGCCTGTGGTATAAGTTATTGTCTTGAATGTAATGCAAATAACGACTGCACAAAATGTCGAAGTGGTACACTACTCAAAACTGCAAGGCCTCAAAATCATTGTGTTGGTAATGCTTGCACTATGTTGTTATGATAATGGTAGCTATGTAATTTTAGGATTTTATGCTCTTATACGAGAATTAAATGAGGCACTACAAGAGGAAGAACATCATGAAGAAGAAATTTTGAAACAGCAACAGTTGGAATGTTAGTCACAATGATAGTTATACTATAATCACTAAATAATTTTTTACATGATAGTAATAGTGGCCCTTCCTATTTTCTGCTTTTTTCTGATAGCAAGCATCATAGTAGCAACTATATTAGCTCATAAACGTTATCCTCATGTTGAAGAAGAAAAGCGTTACAAAGACCCAACAAAGTAATCCATTTTATTTAAAAGTAATGAGGCATTGAATCGTTTTATTGGTAGGATAATTGTAATAAATAGAAACACACTTGAGAGTGGCAAGCTTCAGTCTCAGTCAACTGTTAGACAGCGTTAAAATGAATTCTATAAGAATTCTAGTCCACAGGCTTAGTATGTATCTCTATGATTATGTTTCTGTTTGTATTTAGTGACAATAGAGCTCATAATAATTTTTTTATTTTAAGTTCAAATTTTTAAATTCAAATTTTAAAATCTAAATAGATCTAACTGGGTGTGGTGTGGGCGTGGCATAAATTAATTTTATGTCTCACCACAACACGAGGGTAAATGCATTCCAGTAAAAGATTCTTTGGATGACTTTATTCTCATTACATGAAGAGATAACACTTCAGTTTCGCGTCCATTAGTTTGTTATTTAAGGAGTTTCGCCTTCCGCTTTGTTGTCAATCTTTATTTGTAAGCCCTACTGACGGTCATCAATGGCGTATTCCTTACTCTTGTGTCTCCTTCTCTTGGTGTGTACCGCCTCCGCCACTAGTCATGGAGAAGGAGAGAGTAGCAGTCATGGAGAAGGAGAGAGTAGCAGTAATGGTTGTACAGTGTCTGATACCAGCTACCTAATATCTGCTATCAATTCAACTGAAGGATACAACCTCACTAGAGCAATCATTAACTGTCTAGAGTATTCAGATAATAGGAGTACACTCTCTTTTGGATCAATATCTTATGAATCTATGACTGGTACTAATGGACGATACACTGTACAGTGTAACAGTGGATTATTATTATTATCTGTCAGTGTGTTTGGATTCAGAGAAGAGCGTTCTTCATGTTACGAATGTGTGGATGCTGAAGATCCTTGTGAACCAGGAACAGGTATGAGCACAGATCTAATCCATTATTGCTTTTGAAATTTTAATTTTGACACTGTATGACAATGATAAAATGATAGCATATCCTACATGTAACAATTATTAGACAAAGACCAACATGATGTATCTAGTCTTTATGTACATGTACTGAATAGGTCCTTATCTTATAAATCAAAAATGGGAAACTACTCATGTTGTTCTGTTTATGACTAGTCACTATATATGCCATATATGATACAATGGATAGTAAATAGAAATAATTATCACTGATTGAGTGTAAACAATGTAGTAGGGATGACATGAACGCACTAAATGAAATTAATCAAATTATGATAAATCTCTCTCTCTCTCTTTCTCTGATAGATTGTCCACAGTATTGTGATCATTGTTTACCAAATTCAGAGTGTTTACTTTGTACTTATGCACGATACAATGGACAGTGTCTTCCTAATGCTAACTGTCCTAATAATGGAACCCCTAATCCTATGAATGGGAATGAATGTGAATGTCCTCACAACTTTGGAGGCAGCAACTGCAGAGGTAAGTAGATTCTTATCATGATTATTTATTATTAATTTTTAGATTGTTTGCTAAATGTTACTGACTGTCAGAACGGATATCTATTAAATCAAGCAAGCTGTCGCTGTGAAGGTAAGAATTTTTTTGTATTGTGCATGAATTATTCTGTTTTTTTTTATGTAGCATGTCCCTCTGGTTATTATCAATTCCTTGTTGATCCAGAATCAAGAGTGCCAGAGAGTGTTGTTGGATCACCAGGTAATGAGCTGCTCCTTGGTCAATATTCATAGACTACAAGACAAATCCATTCTTTTCAAAAGGAAATTGCTTTCTTAACAATATTATGCTCATAACTCAAAAATTTTTTTCTTGGAATTAGCTCAAACTTCTACATGGCATAAATACATAATTATGTATCAGAAAGTGTAATAAAAATTGGGAGTGATTTTGGAACCATTTTCAGAAAAAACCATGAGCTTATATTGCTTTTTTTAAAAATTGGCCGATTTTTAAAAATGGCCGATTTTTAAAAATGGCCATAACTTGAAAAATATTTTTTGGAAACAGCTCAAGCTTTCTGTATAGCATAAGAACATCAATATGTATCAGAAAATGTAATAAAAATTTGGGGTGATTTTGGAGCCATTTTTCAGAAAAAACCATGAGCTATATAGCCGGTATTTTTCAAAAATTGGTCAAATTTTAAAAATGACCATAACTTGAAAAATGTTTGTCAAAAACAGCCCAAACTTGCTACATAGCATAAGGACATCAATGTGTATCAGAAAATGTAATAAATATTTGGGGTGATTTTGGAGCCATTTTTCAGAAAAAACCATGGGCTATATTCAAAAATTGGCCGATTTAAAAAATGACCATAACTTTAAAAATGTTTGTTAAAAACAGCCCAGACTTGCTACATAGCATAAGGACATTAATTTGAACCAAAAAAAATGTAATAAAAAATTGGGGTGATATTGGAGCCATTTTTTGAAAAAAACCATGGGCTATAGCCTTTGCTTTTTTTTCAGAAATTGGTGATTTTTTTAAATGGCCATAACTAAAAAAATACTTTTTAGACACAGCTCAAACTTGCTACAGAGCATAAGGACATCAATGTGTATCAGAAAATGTAATAAATATTTGGGGTGATTTTGGAGCCTTTTTTGAAAAAAATCCACAGGCTATAGCCTTTGCTTTTTTCAAAAATTAGTCAATTTTTTAAAATGCTTATAACTTTAAAATTTTTAGTTGGAAGCATAAGTACATTATATGTCACACAATAACATTTCTGTGTGATTTGGAGCCAATTTTTGTTAAAAATAGAATCTACTTTTACTTATAACTAGGTGAAGAAGAAGGCCATCACGAGAAGAAAAGAGCAACAGAATCAGAAGATTCACATGGTACCAGTGAGACTGATACTGATAGAACATTCTGTGTGCAGAATTGTTTGTATGGTTGGACACCTGACCCAAAAGGAGTTTGTTATGGTATAATTGCATTGCTTTACTATTTTACATACCACTTACAAGCTAATTTTTTCCTCTTTTTTTAAAGCTTGTGGTATGAGCTACTGTCTTAACTGTAGTGGAATTGGTCACTGTACAAGATGCCGTGATGGTACTTTAGTCTATAAAGATCACTGCATAGGTAATTGTGGATTTTCACAAGTAACTTGCTAATTTTCAATTTTTAAAGGATTTTATGAATACGTAGAAGAATTGAATCTTGAATTGGAGGAAGAGGAGGAAAGGGAAAAGCAGAAATTTAAGACGGAACAATTAGAATGTTAGTTGCAATAATTCAAACTATTATTGTATTTTTTTCTACTAGTACAAATAGCGCTGCCTCTTGTTTGCTTTTTCGTGATTGCAGCCTTTGTGTTAATAGCAGTATTTGCTCACTTCCGTTATCCTCATGTTGGGAAAGATAAACGTCACAGAGATCCATCAAAGTGAATGAATATTATTAGTTTTATAACCAGAGGATGCATTTTTATACTTTTTATAGGAGAGCTGATAACTATGAGGATACCATTGAGAGCAAGTTCCGACCTCAATCAACCGTTAGGTATCGTTGAGGAGGAACAATTTTAATCAGCAGCTGCAGTTAGTACACATTCAGCTTAGCAGTGGCTGTATGTGTCTGTTTTTAATAATTATTGTTCAGTAGTACTTCATACTTGTTTTCATAACTATGATACATTATAAAGCAAACAGGAAATAACGATAGATCTACTACGGTTATAATTGGGCACAAATGACATAATTACACCATAGGTAGTATCTATGATTACGCCAGTCAACTCCTACGGGATAAGACGGCGTCTTCTTTGTCTAGATAAAAAATAATGGATCATGCAAACGAGTCTGCACTTCTTTCTGATCGAGAAAAGTTCGTTATATTGGTGTCAATGTCTGCAGTAGGTGGTGCTGCAATCATTGTGTGCTCGATTGCACTGGCTATGGCTGCTTACTTTAAGCTTTTTGGGGACTTTTTCCACCGTCTGGCAATTTACCAAGTCCTTGCAGCTATGCTCTACTCTGTGGTATGTGTTCTACAAGTCGTATTCATCAATTATGAAAAAAATCCGTCTGTTTATCGTCCCATTTGTGTCATTGAAGGTTTCATGTTAGAGTACACAATGTGGATTAAATTAATGTTCACATTTTGCCTGACCTTCCATTTGTTTTTTTACTTGATCTGTACCCGTTGCCGTGAAAGAGATATTAATTTTAATCGAATTGAAAAGATATACATACTTGTATCTATGTTTGGGCCTTTGCTGTTTACTTGGATACCATTTGTTAGCATTAACTCAAGCGGAATCATTTATGGTTTGGCTGGAGCTTGGTGCTGGATACAAAACTGGCAGAATGATACTGCATCAGATAACCTACCTCAGGGAGAATATGAGCAGTACTTTCTTCTATATGGCCCTGCTCTCATTTGTCTGCTGTTGTCTGGTGTTGCTGTTGTAGTCATAATAATAACAATTATACGTCGAGCTTATAATTGTTGTGGCTACAGAGATAGCTGTTCAAACTGGGAGCAGATTGAAAGCAAGAATCATTTGAAAGTGATGCTGCCACTTGTGAGTTACCCAATATTATCTCTTCTTTTCTACATACCAGCATTCATAAATCGAGTAATTGGTTCTGCTTCTAAGCATCCAAATACCATTAGTTTTATGTGGAGTGCTATATCGCTACCATTGGTAGGGCTCTTGGCTGGGGTCTCTCTTATTATTCACATCATTATTCTGAAGTTTCCGAAAACACAAGGAAAAAGTGTGCATGAAGAAATCTTGGATTCCATAGATAAAGGAGAAAGAAAGAGATTGGTGCACTCGGGCAAAAAGCAAGGCTACAAAACTACAAGCCCATGAGCTCCTGAACTATAAAACAACATATTAAACTTTTAAACAAAGTATATAGTCTAGTTTTTATAGTAATGTATACGGACCTCGATGTGTAGTTTCACACCCTATTTTGATGTGTTTGTTATCTTTTTTGATTTTTGTGACAAGCCTAATACATGTATAAAAACTGATAGTTATCACAACCTTTACTATCTATTAGAGATAGTGAACAAAGCATGGTTGTTATAACGCCATATGTGAATAAGATAGTAATGTTATGAAGTTAATTATTATGAATTAAGCAACAATTAAATAACTGCAGCAAACAAAACAACTCAAAAGACACAACAGGCCATCGTAATACATTACATGCATTATTAGTTTTTACGACGATACATTTTCATCAAAAAATGAAAAAGTGACGGAGACCACTGTGACAAATACGTCATCAAGAGGTAAGGATGATGGCTGATCCATACCTCATGCAATCCATTAGAGACAGCAATGAGAATCAGCTCAGCACACCTCTCAACTTTCATCCCATTCTCAATCATAGGATCCTTCTTCCCATGGAGAGAGCCTCCAGGATTCATAGCATTCTCTGATACGGCTGTCTTCACGGGACCTGGACAAACATTAGTCACACATATATTTTTATCAAGCAGCTCAAGTCTCACAACATCCATCAAACCATTTAAGCCAAACTTTGACGCACAGTAATACGAACGGGTAGGAGCTCCAAATTTCCCAGAGATAGAGGAGACATTGACGACATGTCCCCCGCCCTGCTGTAACATGAACGTCTTAATGACACCCTTTGTTAAGAACGAAGTTCCCAATAGATCAACCTCCATTACTTTTCTGGCTGTATCTTCTTCAATATCGAGAAAAGTGCATCTCATTGAAATTCCAGCATTGTTGATGAGTATGTCAACTTTATCAAACAGAGATTGAACTTCTTTTGGGGCCCTCCTCACTGATTCTCTATCAGAAATATCTAAGTAATAAGCACGGGCATTCTCTGGATGAGCTAAACTCTTTAACAAAGCATTAAGTTTGTCCATTGATCTGGCAGAGAGAATCAGTTTAGCACCTTCAGTGGACAACTGACGACACAGCTCTTCTCCTATGCCACTGGAGGCTCCAGTCACCCAGACTACCTTGTCTTTAAAGAAATTCCTCTTTAAAGAGCATCTAAGGAGTGTTAGGTCAGCATCAGCTCTCAAAAACTTTATAAAAAGATACACAGTAAGAGCTATGAGCACAGAAACAACGATTGTCAATGCATCCATTTTAGCTTAGGTGAGAGCATGCCACACCCAGTGCAGTAGTCCCAATTTCCCAAATTGAAAATAAAAATGGGGGATTTAAGGGAAGATCGAGGGGAAGATCCAGTAGAAGACTGCTCTAGCAGTTCTAATTCTACCATGTCCACTCTGAGTAATGAAGAAAAATATCAGATATTGCTAGTTATGGGTACTGGGGGCATAGCTGCAGTCATCATTTGTACTGTTGCACTGGCAATGGCTCTGATGTTCAAGCTTCATCACTACTTTGTGCACAGGTTGGCAATTTATCAAGTACTGGCAGCTCTTTTTTTCGGATTTGTGTGTGTACTAGAAACTATATTCATCAATTATGATAAGAACCATAAAGTATATGCTCCACTCTGTGAGGTAACAGGATTTTTGCTAGAGTATGCTGTATGGGTGAAGCTTTTAATCATGTCTTGCTTGACATTTCATTTACTCTGCTTTTCTGTATGTTACACAAACTTCAATCGGCTTGAATACGCTTACATTTTAATATCAATTGTGATACCATTGTTATTTTCATGGATACCTTTTATTCATGGGGTCTATGGGCCAGCTGGAGCATGGTGCTGGATACAAAACTGGAAGAAAGATTGTGCTGATAACAAGCTGTCGGAGGGCGAAATTGAAGAATATGCCTTGTTGTACGGCCCTGCTTTTATCTGTTTGTCATTAGCCTCACTTTCTGTATTTGTCATTGTGATTGTACTAACTTGGCGTGCATATTGCCATCAGTCTAAAACTGACTCTTTTTCTGTTCCATTACTAGATTTAGGAGAAGCTCAAAAAAGAAAGAAGGCCTTGAGAGAAATCCTCCCTTTGGTATCTTATCCTATCCTGTTTATAATTTTCTTCACGCCGTCTTTTGTCAATCGAATAAAAGGTGCTATTATGAAGGATGCAAGTATGTCCAGCTTCATGTGGAGTGCAGCCACTACTCCTTGTTTAAGTCTTTTTGCTGGACTAGCTCTAATTGTGCATATTGGAATTTTAAAGTGTCAAAAGCAATATTTCAAAAATATTAGGCACTCAAATAATCGACCGTGTAAAGAGATACAATCACCTTATGTTGATATTAAAACAGATATTTTCACTTCTGAGACTGTAGCATCAACAAATGCTAGAAGCCAATGGATTATGCCAAATGAAAGTGACATTGATGACTAAAAGTTGTATTTTTTGTGTACATAAATGCATGTTACTCTAGTTGATGTGGTAATAATGCACTACTCTTGTTTAAAGTTTTGAGTTCAGAATAATAGTCTTCATTTAGTACTGTCACATCATACACAACAGTGGCAGCTTTTGTAAGAGGATATTCCTCTTGAAGTGTCTGTATCCACAGTGTTAAGCTCTCTTGTGTTGGAGGTTGACATAAACATACCCCAAGAATTATACCTAAAATAATTAGAATTATAATAAAATTGGAAGCATCTGGTTGATGTTTATAAATTACCATCAGGATTTTCACTATCATTAGTGCTTGTAGGCAACAAACGTAGAGAATAATAAAAGAGAGGCATTTTCTGGAGCCACATTAAATGAGGACCATCAACATGTAGTACAGTCTCTTCAGAGAAACTACTTGATTTCAAAAATGTCACCTGTTTCTTGCTACTAGCTGCTATTACAAAGGAATCAGTGTCACCTTCCCCCTCAGCTTCCTATACAAAATTACAAATACTAATGTATCCAGGGTTTCCCACAAAACATACTACTTGAGCTGCTGACAAGTATCTATGAACACAATTTTGGTCAGGATCAGCTCAAAGTTTTAATGCAACAGAAGAACATGCATGAGTATCAAAAAATTATAAAAATGAAAAATTCTCTTCTAGCAATTTTTGACAAAAATATCCTGTATATGAATCCTACTTAGCATTAGTAATAGTACTGTTAAAAAACTAATTTTAATCGGAACGAGCTTAAGCATTCTACCTGACATAAGTACATTAATACATGTACCAGTATGCATCAGAAAAAATTATAAAAAGGAAAATTTTCTCCTTTTAATTTTTGGCAAAATTTACTGTACTTTAGTACAGGGTCTTCGGCCAGATTTTTTAATAACTTTAAAAATTCATAAAAGATCCAAACTTGATCGGAATTAGCTCAAACTATATATGTAACATATAAGAACATGTATGTGTCAGAAAAAATTATAAAAATTAAAAATTTTCTTCTTTTCATTTTTGATGAAACTTGGGCAAATACCCTTTTATAATACAAGGTCTTGACCCAATTTTGGAACAACTTTAAAAATTCATAAAAACCTAAACTTGATCGGAATCAGCTCAAACTATATAAGCAACATAAGAACATTTATGTGTGCCAGAAAAATCATAAAAATTAAGAATTCCCCACTAGTCATTTTTGGCAAAATTTAGACAAATACCCTGTACAGGGACTTTGGTCTGATGTTTTAGCAAATATAAAAAATTCATTAAAATTCTGGTTTTGATCATTGATTTAAATCAATTCAAAGTTTCTACGTAACATATTAAGTGCATGTATATACACCAAAAAGTTATCAAAATAGGGAATTATCTCCTTTTCAATTTTCACGAAATTTAGCCAAAGACCAAGTACTACTATAGTACAGGGTCTTTGGCCAGATTTTTGAGCAACTTCAAAAATCTACTGACAAGATGTTGAATACTCTGCCAAAACCCTGTGGGAAACCCTAAATATATCATTGGTATCTTTACCTTTATGTTCCATACTTTACAGTCTTCTCCAGAAATCCTCTGCAACGCCATCTTACTGAGTGTGTATAAATCAGTAGGCATGTCTCCTTTAATGCGATAAGGATCAATATCTTCAAATTTATCAAACCAAAAGGCAATTCGTTCACACTTCTGTACAGGTAGACTGATTCTACTGAAGGTCTCACAAAGAATGGTGTAAGTCACATTGTCAGGACGTATGCCATTGTCTTCCATTTTTGAGAGGATTTCCAATGCAAGGTCTATCTGCGGATGAGGCTTGGGCCACAGGGTATCAAAGAAAGACTTATTATTGAAACGGCCTTTTGGGAATAGGTCTAAAAGCCTGTTGTACGAAAGGAGATCCTTTTGTAAACCAAACTCATCCATTCGAGATAGTCCCTCCTTAATGAATTTCATATGGCCGCTTCGATTCTTTTCCAGTGACATGTAAGACATAAGAGCTTCAGCAAATCTCTCCCTTACAGCCAAGCTCTGATCTTTTTTAGCTTCATCAAGGAGATGGCCATAAGATGAGGACTCTTGCGGCTCAAGATTTTTGCAGTCCTGAAAAGAAGTTTTTATTGTCCTTGCAAGCAGGAGCCTTGATGATAAATAATAATTTGAGAGGAGATATTTCTGGCTTGCTTTTCTTATGCACAAAGTAATGGACGCCATCTTTATTTTCGGATAATAAAAATAGATGGCATAACAATACGGTATTATTGACCTAGCGGATCACTTTGCCTTCATTATTTCGTCATCAATAAAATTTGCCATTGGCCAATCAAAATCGAGCAAATCACATGACCGTAACGTGATCTAACAGGAATGGGGTGGACTCCCAAATAAAAAGAAAAACTTGCATCAACAAAACTTTTATAACTTTTTCTTTCAAACTTGACTGGAAACCTTTTAGGCCTTTGGGCCTTCATTCAAAAACCCACTTCTTCTTTTCTTTATTCAGACTAATGGCTAGGACAAAACAGACTGCTCGTAAATCCACTGGAGGTAAGGCTCCTCGTAAACAGTTGGCTACCAAAGCTGCCAGGAAAAGTGCTCCTTCTACTGGCGGAGTAAAAAAACCACATCGTTACAGACCCGGTACTGTTGCTCTCCGTGAGATTCGTCGTTACCAGAAATCCACTGAATTGTTGATAAGGAAACTTCCTTTCCAGAGGCTTGTTCGTGAGATTGCTCAAGACTTTAAGACAGATTTGAGGTTTCAGAGTGCTGCCATTGGAGCTCTTCAAGTCAGTGGAACAAGATAACATGATACAACCAAGAGTCCATGGACTCTTGATACAACTAATTCACTGTTAATTAATATACCAAGACAATCTCAAATAAGCTTCCCATTCACACTAGTATTAATTAGACTATGTAATGTTAGACGGTGTGGCCATTTGGTTGTACACATGATAGACTGACTAGATTCATTTTTGGGTACGAGACCCTCTTTTGAATATTTATTTATAGGGATAGTGTATTGGCGTAGTGCCTGTTTATGTATATTGACACTTGTGTAATCTCCTGTTGTGCTAACGAGTCAATAATGTGATTTTCTTTAATTATTATTATAGGAGGCATCAGAGGCTTATCTTGTTGGTTTGTTTGAGGATACTAATCTCTGTGCTATTCATGCCAAACGTGTGACAATTATGCCCAAGGACATACAGCTTGCTCGTCGTATTCGTGGAGAAAGAGCTTGAAACTGAAGTACTTGCAGTTCATTGCAACTTTACCTTGCAGTTATAAATATTTTAAGTGTTATTCTGTCTTTGCCTTACCTTCTCAGTGAACATATTATAATTCTATTATTATTATAAAGTGCCATTTAAACTCATTTTTTCTTTGATTGATTTCTTTATTAGAAGAAACGTTATAATGAAGGGGGGAGTGTGGCTGGTGTTGTTATATGTGACAATCACTTCTGTTTGTTATTACACAGTACACGAGACACCTACGGTGCATGGCCTCGCCCCTATAGCTGCTATGGTGCATGCCCGCACTTCAATAACTGTTTGATTATCAGCATGAAGAGAGTCTGCTCAACACTAGCTTCCTACAGTTGCACTTGCTCTTGAATACCTGCAGAAGTAGCAGCACTGCAGCACATACATGCAAGCAGCTCCAGCCCCTCCCATACATGTAGATTGAAAGGTGTGGCATTCCATGAGTGGCAGCAAGAAGACCATGTGAGAAAGAAGCTTCACTTTTTCTTTACTAATCAGCAATATATGATAAACTTGCTGACAAAAAAAGTTGCTGCCTTTGTATGTTTGAGATAGTATAGGTACTTTAGTACCTATAACCCAGCAAGTTGTTGCTCTAGCGCTGCACAAACGAGTGACCTCAACAATTTCAAGTAAGTATAACTCTTCATCAAGTAAGATTTAGAGAAATCTGTTCATAATTTTTGAAGGCCATGTTCTAATCTACTGAAAAATGCTACCAGCTATCTCTAAAGTGCCAACACAACGGAACTTGGCCCAACTACTCGATTTTCTTACTTTGAAGCTTCTGTACCTAGCACTTGTATTTGAGCAACACAAAACAGTTAAGAAAGACTTTTCCACGTCAAAAAGAAAGATCTAGGAGCTTAGAACACGCTGTGCTAAAGTTATTGTTTATTAAAAACAAATTTCAGTTGTACAGAATGAATGAATGAATGAATGAATGACAGACACACACAACAACTACCTATACCTCGCGTAGGCGAGGCCAACAAGAGAAATGATGCAAATAGCCACTGTTGTCATGAGTGTTGTGCAACAATTTAATTAGGGCGTGGCTATTAATTTTATGGGCGTGTCTCGAAACAAGGGCACTCCTCCAATTCCAGAAAAGAATTCAGTTGCAACATTACATTAGCAAAAAAGCAGAACAGAGTCATGTCTGACGTGTACTCTAAAGTTGAACTGTCCATAGAATGCACTAACCTCAAGGACTTGGACACTTTCTCAAAGAGTGATCCAGCCGTATTCCTGTTTCAGAAGAAAGGCAGAGAATGGATCAAGCTGGGAAGAACAGAACTCATTGAGAACAATCTCAATCCAAAGGTAAAACTACTAATGAACCAAATGGATGCGTGTATGTGTGATATGACACTCTTTTCTTTTAGTTTGCAACAACTTTTACGCTCAAGTATCATTTTGAAGAGATCCAAGACCTCAAATTCATAGTCTATGACATTGACGACAAAAAGCATATTGATAATCCCAAGAACCAAGACATCATTGGAGAGATGACATGCACACTTGCTGACATTGTGGCAGCCGGTCAGCGCTACGAAAGAAAGCTGAGACACAAAGGTTACACATTAAAACCATTAATATGCTGTATATGTGATAAATGTGAGCCCTTTCAGAATGAGACCGTGCTTCTGGGAATTTATTATGCTTATGTTTGCATTTTGCAAGTTGGCAATGATACCTTTGAATGACGCTGTATGTAGCCCAACATGATGACATTTATCCATCAACAAGCAGTTCCTTTGTTATATAACACACTCTAGTATAGACAATACTGGTATGCCATGTGTCAAGTCTACCTAGAGGCTGTTAGCCTAAGTGTAATATCAGCTAGCACTGCAGTAGTAATCCAATTAGACTATTGTACTTATGGTGTTACACAAAGCTATTATTGCACTTCCTGTAGTGATAAATATGTCCATGTACTATGTACTTTCATTTCAAATGAGGTAATTGCATATTTCTGTAGGAGAGCCAAGAGGAGGAATACGCATAACAGTAGAAGAAGTTCAAGATTCAAAATTTGACGTCACGCTTCAACTAAGTGCCTCAAAGCTGGACAAGAAAGACTTCTTTGGAAAAGTATGTAACACCTCGTAACCATTTGGTATGCTTATGAATTATACACACAAATATGCATGTACCCACTGTAGTCTGATCCATTCTTTGTGATATCCAAAGTACAAGAAGGTGGCGAATTTACAGTTGTTTATAGATCAAATCCAATTATGAAGACGCTAAATCCAAAGTACTTCCTCATTTTATTATCAGTACATGTGCTCATTGTACTGTGTTTCATTAAAGGTGGCCTCGTTTCACCATTGGGTCTCAAAAGTTATGCAGTGGGGACTGGGACAGGACGCTAAAGATAACAGTCTCTGATTGGAACTCTGATGGTAGCGAGGATTTGATTGGGGAAGCTTTGTTTTCACTAAAAGACATCACCAAAAGGTACTTACCCACTGAAACTGATGCATTTTAGATAAGATGGTTTGTAAACTTGGTAGTGAAGATTCGGTATGAAGTGTTGACAAACATTTCAATGTTTATGTACAGTTTTCTTAAATATTATTATAATATTTTCTTCATTATTATCATTATTATTACTTTGCAGAGGAGGGTCAGTATCACAGGTTGAGCTCATCAATCCAGAGCTAAAGAAAAAGAAAAGTAAATACACTAATTCAGGAGTCATCCACTTTGGGTCTGTGTGGTGAGTGGTGACTGCCTTGTTGTTTTAGTAGTGGTAAATGTTTGTTTTAATAGTACTACACCAGTTCATAGTTTCATGGATTACATTAAGGGTGGTTGCCAAGTCAGTCTTATGGTTGCTATTGATTTTACGGTGAGTCAGTTAGAGCGAGAGAGAGCAGAGAAACTGCATGCGAAAGAAAGAGAGAAGAGATTTTTTAAATAATTTTTACCACTTTTTTGTAGGCATCGAATGGCAAACCTACTAATCCAACTTCTCTCCATTACAATGACCCACAGAGAGACAATGAATACGTTACTGCAATAAAGTCTGTGGCTAGTGTTCTGGTGCCATACGATACGGACCAGATGTTCCCAGTCTTTGGATTCGGTGCCAAATTCCGTCAAAATGGAGAAGTCTCGCACTGTTTTCCTCTAAATTTTAATCCACAAAACCCTGAAGTATATGGCCTAGAGGTTAGCCTCATTTGTATTTAATCTATTAATCTCTAAATAATAATATCTAAAGGGTATTCTTGGTTCCTACTGGTATGCCTTGAGTATGGTTGATCTTCATGGACCAACTAATTTCTCTTCGTTTCTTGACACTGCTAAGAAATATGCCTCCACTGGTGTGACTCAAGAGAGGCAGCAGTACTACATTCTGCTTGTTATAACAGTAAGTCCAATACATGGCCCCAAGACTGTTTTACATGTAGTCTTTATTATAGGATGGGGAGATCACTGATATGCAGAATACTATTGATAGGATTGTGGCTGCATCAACACTCCCTCTCTCTATTGTTATAGTTGGAGTCGGTGGTGCTAATTTTAGTAAAATGGTAAATAACAATGCATTTATAATTATATTAGCTATAATAAACAACCTGCTTTTGTAGGAGATACTTGATGCTGATGATAATCCTTTGGTTGATAAGTACAATAAGAAGATGGAACGTGATATTGTTCAGTTTGTACCACTCAGGGAGTACCAGTCTCGTGCTGGAGCTAACTTCTCTTTAGTAAGGAGCTACAATGATTGTCACTGAAGGATCTGTATTCTTAATAGGCCAAAGAGACTCTTGCTGAGATACCAGGACAGCTTCTTTCTTTTATGAGATCCAAAGGCATAAAACCAAACCCTCCACCTCTGAGAGCACAGCAGAGTTTTAGAGAAGGTAATGATCACAATATTTCGTAATTGAATGAGTATTTTATTAAGGAGGACCTGGACAAGCACCATATCCTAGTGGAGGGCCCGGACAAGCACCATATCCCACAGGGGGGCCCGGACAAGCACCATATCCCACAGGGGGGCCCGGACAAGCACCATATCCCACAGGAGGGCCTGGACAAGCACCATATCCTAGTGGAGGGCCCGGACAAGCACCATATCCCACAGGAGGGCCTGGACAAGCACCTTATCCCACAGGGGGCCCTGGACAAGCACCATATCCTACAGGGGGGCCTGGACAAGCACCGTATCCCACAGGAGGGCCCGGACAAGCACCATATCCCACAGGGGGGCCCGGACAAGCACCATATCCCACAGGGGGGCCCGGACAAGCACCGTATCCCACAGGAGGGCCTGGACAGGCCCCATATCCTACAGGGGGACCTGGACAGGCCCCATATCCTACAGGGGGACCTGGACAGGCCCCATATCCTACAGGGGGACCTGGACAAGCACCGTATCCCACAGGAGGGCCCGGAAAGGCCCCATATCCTACAGTGGGACCTGGACAGGCACCATATCCCACAGGGGGGCCTGGACAAGCACCATATCCCACAGGGGGGCCTGGACAAGCATCAAACTAATCAATTTTATATTAATAAACATTATTATTATTATAATTACAAATAGACAATAGTGACTTGATGATAAATAAACTTATAGCTAACATCACAGTTGTACATGTACAGTTTCATTTTTACTTCACGGCAACTTTAACATTCCAACCAGATAATGCTGTCACTGCATCAGGTCCCTTTGATCCAGTGTTCTGCAAGCTTGGAAACTCATCTTCAGTCAAACTCACTTTAGATCGCTGAGTGGCTGAATGCCATGGCCTAGAATCACTTAAATCAGCTTGTAGATGCTTAGCCTTTTTGTTTTTACTACGTAAAGATGGTGGTTGCTGTGTCACAGATAAACCAGGAGGTGGTTTAACTGCTCCTGGTGGAACTGTAGTAGGTTTCTTGTCTCTATCAAACAAAGAATGGAGTTCAGCTCTTTTTATAGGATCTGGTAAAGTCTCTACAAGTTGTAGTCCAAATTCAGTCCAAGCTGAACCAAATATATCAGAACAGTGTCCATAATAATCACTAGCTGTTAAATCCCCTAACAAATACTGACCACTCCATTTCCTAAAGTGATTTACTTTCTTCTTATTGTTTCCTAGAATTTTCTGTGCCATTTCAAAAATGTCAAACTCAGTTTTCAAATTAGAAGGCCCAGCAATGGGAGGGCTAGGATTAAAGCCAGGAGGTGGTTTAGATGCAGTAAGAGTGAGACCAGGTGGTGGTGCTACTGGAATAGATGAAAGAAGATGAGGAGGTGGAGATGGTTTGCTCTGTGTCTTTATATCAGTATCAAGTAATGGCCACTCATTAGGTGGTTCCTCTACACTAATCTTTACTGTACTGAAAGAGGGTAGGGATGTATTCCGTACTATAGGACAACTATTGGACAGTGGATGAGTGTCTTTGATCTGTTGATCAGGTGAGTTCTCTTCGCTGTTGCTCCTAGCTGAATTAGTGTCTTTCTTCTGTTCCGTAAGAGATAATGCTTTAGCTGTTTCTATGTCATCAATCTCTTTGCTGTAGAGTATAAAAGATGCGATTACATTATAACAATAATGATAGCTTATCATACCTGGATGTTCTCTTCTGTCTCGTGTGATGATACTGTCTCTGTGACACAGGAGGCATCCCTTCAACTTCCTCTGGAGCCTTACTATATACAAACCCAACATCAACTTGCCTCAACTGCTTGGCTTCAGCTTTACTCAATCCTTTGCAATGCTCCTTTGCTTTGTGTGCCTACAAATTGACAGACATGTACCTACATGCACTTTGATAATTAGCTTAGGGTATACCTGAAAGTCTAGCTTGGTCCTAAAAACTGTTGTGAATTTCTCATATCTGCAAGGACCCTCAGAGCAGAGGTAATGAGACTGACGGAAGTGAACCCTCAACTCAGCATAACTAGCATAATAATCCTGACTGCCATCAGCTTCACATATGTGACACCAGAAGTGCTTGTTCTTCAGATGAAAGAACAGCGTCTCCGTGTCTAAGAACCTCTCGTCACAAAACTGGCACAGGGGGTGTCCCTTGTAGGCAGAGTCATCAGGATCCCCCTCTCGGCGGTGTCGGGCCAGTTGTTCTCGTGTATACAATCGATACTCATGAGGGAATAGCTTAAGATTAGATACACATATGTCACACATGGACAAGTTATGATCTTTACGTAAATGATCCTGTAGCGATTTCATGTTCGTAAATCTCGGCCTTCCTATTTCATGTCCCCTCCCAATTCCTCCTTCATCCCTCTTGGTCCCTCCCCCTTCCTCACACTTGATGCACCGTGGGATCTTTAGGGACTCAAAGGCGGCATATAACTCACGGGACTCAAACAGGAATCCAGATTTTCGATCGTAAAGTTTCTTTTGTGAAGGAATTGAAACAAAAGACTGTCTCTTCTCAACAACAATTACCTATTAAATGATAATTTTGATTATTCATTATTACATAAAGCCTATTCACTTTCTCGTTGTTCTCTCTACAAACTGGGCACTCTTTGGTATCACAGAGGACCCTCAGTCGAGCGGCACAAGTGAGACAAATGTGATGATCGCAGGGAGAGATGACCCACTCTTTAGTTTCGTGACAACACAAAGAGCAGGCACTTTCCATGGAGAGTCTACGCTCAGTTTGAATCTTGAGAGTTTTTGGTAGTTTACTAGCCATTTATACGAGAAGATTGGCGAGAGGTTAAGCACTACAATAGCTGAAAAGAAAGAGACAAAGAGACTTAAAACTGCACCTGCCAGTAGTAGATTTTTTTATTTTTAATTGCTTAGCTTTGTTAGCCACGCCCTCCAATCATTGATCAATTACGTCATTACGTGTTACTAAATTTAACACAAGTTATTCTAAACACACCAGTACAATCAATTGCACCATAATAGTGTCACTTTGGACTTGGAGCAGTCAAAAAAACATTAATTTAATATTCAGGTGGAGTATAATTATCTCCTCCCTGAGGCATTTTCTTTTCTTCTTCATCGTCGTAATTTTCCGGAGCATCGTTGTCGCCCTCTTGGCCGGCAGCATTTAAGCCTCTACAATCACGATCAGTCCCTCTCAATATCCAAATGAGAAACAAGACATTGAAAACAATGATAGCAATCTGTGAAGGATTCAGAAAGAGAGAGGGAAAAGATAAAACAATGAAAACAAAAGTGTAATTTATTAACAAACACTCTTTCTTTTCACTTTCTGACTAGCATACCCAAAGTATAACTGAGAAGAATGAAAAGGTTATTGTTGCCCTGAGACAGTTTGTGACACTGGCAGAATAGTTAGATTTAAAAATATCCTCAGTTTTTCTGTACTGATCGGTTGTATAGCAGAAACAAACAAACCACAGAAAGCACCAAAACCCGTTCACAATTAAATCAAGGATAATGATACCAGTCTTTGCCTACATAATGTAACAAGAGAGATGAGACAACACTATAGACACACAAGACACTGTTGTACACAATTAAAATATACAAGTGTACCACCCACCTCAGCAATAGCTACACGCAAATAATTTTTTGACTCACTATTATGTATCCGGAAAAATCGACCACAACCATAGCAACATCCTTAAAAAGGAAAGCAATGCAAATGAGAAATGCTATGACACCAATTCCAATGGCATAGTTACAGGCCCCTGAACCATTATACAAGCAGGCACTATCACCAGCATTATTTTTTTTTACAATCCCTTTGTCTGACATGCAGCCAAAGACAATGATGGAGAAAAGCTACAAAATATTAATGAAAGCAATGAGGATTATTAGGATGACAAGGCTCACTATTCCAACGAGTCTCAGGTATATTAGAGGAGAGAGAGCAAACTCTTTGAGAAAGACCACGGGCTGCTCTGTCCTTATCTTCAGTGCTGCCGGAGATCCATTAAAATTCATTGCTAGTCACTCGTGAGTAAGGAACTATGGAAGGAGAGAGAAAGCGAGGGGAAAAGTGATTCTGATTTAGTCACACCTAGATCTACCACTGTACCACACCCCACTGACCCCAGGGCAAAATGATTGCAAATGGCACATGGTCTCTCGCATGGTCTTCATCTCCTAAACTTGTGTAAGGAAAATCCATTGAAGGTGATTTGTGCACGTTTCTCTTCCAAGATTCTAATGGAGCCCTGTAAAGATGGAGAGAGTGCGCAGGGTGATATCTATTCCGAAATATCTGAAGGAAAAGCTAGAATGTTTGTACCCAAACAAAATTCAGTTTTTTATAATCCTGTTCAAGTATTTAACAGAGACTTGAGGTATTATAATTAATTGTTATTATTATTATTATTATTATTAATTTTACTATTTTTTATTTTTATTAGTCTTGCTGTGGTTGACCAGTATGCTAAAAAATACTGGAGATATCATCATCGCCAAAAAAGTATAGATATTATATTATTACTTGCAACCATGACTATAGTATGCATGCAGGACCTTTTTGGAGAGCTGACTCTGGCTTAATAGCTAATGAAAAGAAACCTAATGAACCAGCCGAACCTGCCAAGAGTGACTCCTCCAATAATGAAGTAATCTGTTACTATATAAGTAGTTTCAGACACACCCATTTACCTCATATGTAGCCTGACAGACCTAAACTTAAGATATTGGAAGCATTAGCTGCATCCGGTCTACGCTCAATACGATATGCATTGGAAATACAATCCACACCTTGTGAGATAACTGCCAATGATTACAGCAGTGATGCGTACCAATCCATCACTGATAATGCTAAAAGGAATGGAGTGTCCAAAATTGTTCAACCATCATGCAAAGATGCAAGGTAATGGAGCTAAATCATGTCACTATAGTATTAAAAATGGACTTAATTATTTATTTCTTTCAGGTTGTTAATGTACGAACATATTGAGCCGCTAGAACAATTCCATGTTGTTGATATTGATCCTTATGGCTCTGCAGCTGTGTTTCTTGATTCAGCTGTACAATGTATAAAGGATGGAGGTAAGCTTATATTAATGCCCATTGTATGTACCTGTGTTGTAAACAATATTCTAATAAATATGGCCACTGTACTCTTAATGGTAATACATAGGTTTACTGTGTGTTACGTGTACTGATGCTAGTGTTTTGTGTGGCAATCGTTCTGAGGTTTGTTTCTCCAAATATGGTAGTGTCTCGCTAAAAACCAAGTACTGTCACGAAATGGTATTCAGAGAAAGGAAACTCATTTACTTTAAATTGATTTATTTCTAGGGTCTACGTATCATACTGGCCAGTTTAAATAGTCATGCCGGTCGATATCAGAGATATATTCATCCCATTCTCTCACTTTCTACTGATTTTTATTTCCGTGTGTTTGTAACAATATACACCAGCCCACTGGAAGTAAAAAAATCAGCTAGGTAGGTACTGATAATATTTTAATAATTTCTTTACTACTTCCACTCTCCCCTCTTTCTTCCCTTCTTCTTCTTCCTCAAGTAAGCTGTCTATGGTGTATCACTGTGATGGCTGTTCATCCTTCCATTTGCAGCCATTAATTAAACTATCCACTACAAAAGACAAGTAAGACAATCTGATGATCTTACTGATGCTATCTCTCTTGTTGCCTTTGCAGTTCAATCAAGACTCATTCTTCTTTTGGTCCACCAATCAATAAGGACTGTGAACATTGTTCCAGTAACTTCAAAGTAAGCTGACAGCTGGTTTTTATATGAACAAAAACAGTGTAAAGCATGCATTTTGATCTCATGTTGTGTAGAAGTTTAAGCTGATTCCAATTAAAAGAGGATTTTTAGAAAATTTCCAAAAATTTTGCCAAAAAATGAAAAGAGAAAATTTTTATTTTAATAATTTTTCTAAAGTTTGAGTTGGTTCTGATGGAAATTGGATTTTTTAGTTTTTTTTAAATTGCTTCAAAATCTCATACCATTTTGAATTAAACATTAATTCATAGTGTCTAATCTGTCTATATTTTGTAGTTTGGTGGTCCTGTTTGGTCAGACCCGATTCACGATGATATTTTTATCAGTTCATTGTTGAGTGACCTTCAAGAGACTAAAGATTGCTTTGCTACAAATAGCAAAATGATTGGTATGCTCTCAATGATGAAAGAAGTGAGCTTAATAATAAAGTGTACATGTACATGTAAAATTTAATGATAATAGCAATAATGCTGGTATCCTATTATTATTGCTATCATATTTTAGGAGCTCAATAATGTGCCATTTTTTCATGACTTATCTCAATTATCTTCAGTTCTTCATTGTAACGTCATGAGGATGCTTGAAATGAGGTATTTTGGAATGAGCATCTCTCCCTGATGTTTATGTAACGTTAAGGTCTGCCCTCATGAATCAAGGCTACAGAGTTTCTTCTTCTCATACTAACCCGCAAGCAGTCAAAACTGACGCTCCACACTCTGTAGTCTGGGACATCATGAGAGAGTGGGTGGGTCTTTTTTGATAAGCCACACCTTTTTAATAATGTTTTCACGTAGGTAAAGCGTAATCCAATAAAGAAAGTATCTCCAGACTCTCCAGCTGCTTGTATATTGAGCAAAGAGCCAAGGTAAGATGACATTTAAAATAGTTTATAAGGTTTTTTGCCACAATGGCAATATAAGTATAAAAACTGGTATGCCATTGAAATGTATGTGTCTGTGTATGTAGTACTCAAGTTTCGTTTGATGTAAGAGAAGATGCAGAGTCAGTTTCTCGGCGTATGAAACTAGTTCGGTTTCCAAATAATCCACCAAACTGGGGGCCAAAACCACGAGCTAAAAGAAAGTATGTGAAGATTAAAGGAACAATAAAGTTATAATATACTGTATATATAGGGCAGAGGAAGAAATAGAAGATAATTTAACTGCACCAAAAAAGAGACAAAACAACTAATTACAATAAAATAATTAAAAAATTCTTTTTAATTTATTTTCAATAAAAATGCACCAGTTATTTAAACTCATTCAGAGTACAGCTCCTAGTGTTCCTAATTGAAGGATTCTTCATTAGCATGTAGGCTAAATGCCATCGATTGAAAGCTCTCTGTGACACTCTTGGCCTTGATCCTAGGATTAAATGATAAATAAATATATAGCTGCTATAAAGATTTCTTACCTCCAAACAAGTCATACACAGTAGCTGAAACTATTGTACTAGAATGACCTTGCTTTGCCTCTGAATAACTCTCCAGCTCTTCAATGCTGCCTCCATTTATTTCAACTGTCACAGATCGTCGATTTTCACCACTCTCCTGAGCTTGTAGGTAATTGAATTTCTCTTTATGTTGTCCGTTTCTATTTCGTTCTTTGACACTTTCTGACAATATATCAACAAAGACATGAACAATAGCATTGTTCTGTATCAACTCCAACTGTATAAAGCCCAAGTACGTCAAATGGCCTATACGAAGGAGACTACACAGTCAGTGACATTACTTCATTTATTCTACCTTTATCTAAATTTGGTTTCTTCATTCCAGATATATCAAGTCTTGGTGCTAAGACCAATCCCTGTCCAGCTGCAAAGACCATACGTCCAATGGAAGAGCCCAAGCCGAGTAGTCCATTATAGCAATACAATAGATAACTAGTAATGTGGTATAGACGCCTGGAGGAAAGAAATGGAGGGAGCTGGATGAAGAGTATTTGGAGCTAGTATGAAGGACTTGCTTGTTAGTAAGGATGATCTGTTCTTTTCCTTTTTCTTCAACAAACACAAACTTACATGTCACGTTTATCAGAACTTGAATAAAAATATTGATGATTATTGTTAAACTATAGGAAGTATGAGAGATCAAGGATTCAGTACTGACTGTGAAGAAGGGTTTCCCACAAAGCATACTTCAGGCAAGCACTACATGTATATAAAATTCATAAAATTTTTTTTAGTTTAAACTTGCTAGATCTACATGACATAAAATATCTCTCCTAGAAATTATTGGCAAAATAAATTATGGTAGGCCTGATTATGGCCAAAGAGCCTGTACATAGTGTAGTGACTTTGGCCCGATTTTAAATTAAGTAACTTCAAAAATTTGTAAAAATTCAATTTTGGTCATAATGAGCTCAAACTTGCTACACTACATAAAAACATATATATGCATGAGGAAAAATTATAAAAACGGAGAATTATTTCCTTATTGTTTTTGGCAAAATTTGGCCAAAGACTGGACTTTGGCCCAATTTTGAGTAACTTAAAAATTAGTAAAAAATCTAACTTTGGTCAAAATCACCTCAAACTTGCTATACTACATGAGCACTATGCTAAAATCCTGTGAGAAACCTGCTATGAACATACATAATTGAGCTAATGATGAGTAGAACTGCTGCATATGCATACACAAATGCAAACACAACTGCTAAAAGGAGTACACCAAACAGCCAAACTGTAAGAGCATATAGCATCCAACCTATTTAAAAATAATATCACAACATACTCTTCCTATTGTAGTGCTATATGTACCTAGCACAATGTACCCGATTTGATAGCCAGGATATTTTATAGTAGACGCCTAAGGAGGCAAGATAACAAATAAATGCGACAGTTTTGTTTAGCGCATACTATGATAAATGATGGAGAGAATTCGACACCTTTTGGTATAAAGCTTTTATCCCCTTTGAATCCCTGGAGCAAATGAGTCCTAAAACAAAGAGAACATAACTCACTGTCCCTCAATTCCTTTCTCTCTTTTGTACCTTGCATTCTTCAAAATAGGCAGCAACTGAAGTAGAGAAAATGGAAAGGCAATGAATGGGCCCATTATTAAAAATACTACAAGTGTATAGCAATAAAATATGTACATAGCTTTATAGATAATATATTTACCAGAAAATCCAATAATAATATCTTGTCTATATTCAAGAAAATCACACAGTAGAGTGTTATTAGTGCTATCCATGATGCTGGTAGGATCATTGCAGCTGTTGTTAGCAATGGTGTCCAATCTCATGAGAATATTGTCAGTGATTGTTAAGAATTGTGTGATGAGCAAAAACGAAAGCTGTTAAAAAGGTAAATACAAGACTAAGCAATACATGAATGATACCTCAAACAGTACAATGGAAGCTCCACCCAATGATACTATAAGTCTCAGAGGATATGCAAATCCTTAACAATTTGTCATTCTAAAGGTATCATTAATGATGTTACCTGGTCGATTAGTGTAAATTTTATTCTTTATTTTATGTAATACTCCACTTCTCATAGCCAGATCCTTCCTATTACTGTATTACAGTTAGTATGGGTAGTGTTCTCCTCTCTCTCATTCCCTTACTTTCTCTTTCATATTCCCTCTCTCTGTCTCTCTCTCTTTCTCTTCCTTCTCTCTCTCTCTTACTGTTACTCACTCAAGTGTCTTCTCTTTGTTTAATAAAAACTTTAAATATTTGTAGCTGTTAAAGTGAAGGGTTGGATGAGACTGAATCTATTGAAGGCATCACGATTATTATAATAAATTTGATTTTATTTCATTAAAACTCACCCAGCTGCTCTGTCCTTTAATTTTTTTCCAAATTTCCTTCACGAGTGACACCACATACCAGATCAGTACACCAGCAAGACAGAGTATCACTGGTGTGATACCAACCACAGTTGTTGATATCTAATAAATTGAATTTCTTGTAAGTTTTACTATATATAATATAATTATTTTTTCTGCCTCTCTCATTAAAATACCTCGGGTGTGTCAACCGTAATTTCTGTTGAAAAATAAAGGCAACCTAGCCTAAAGGAGTGCACCCACAATGCGTACCACACAATCCTGCAATAATCAATAATAACACGATCTGACTATGATGATACTTGCAATAATCCTGTATAGAGAGACCCTATTGTATAGCCAATGATTGGTATCACAGTAGCTGAACACGTGACTGATGGTAGGAACAGGAAGGCAGCATACACGATCCATCCCAATCGAACAACAGCTGTCAAAAAATGAATGAATTTACATGTACATGTAGCCAAGACATTTAGCTATAAAGCCATTGCAATAGAATTATAGTTTCCTGTGTCATGAGCAGGTGGTGCAATTAACTGTTATGATAGATCATGGAGTAATGTATTTGGTTTATTAATATTTTATGCAAAACCGCCACATTAACAGGAAACATGGCACCACGCGGACGGAAAACTATAAATCATATTGCAGCAGCCTAACTAACCAGATATTATTTGACTAACAGTGTTGCTGCGGTCAGTAAACAGGACTGGCTGGAGTATTGTGTTTTGCACTACATGCCCAGAGAGTGCCATTAATGTTAGTGTTAGTACTAGCCTACTGGGATGACCGGTCAAAAAATCCAAAGGCCTAAAATCATTCCACAAACAGAAGTATTATGCCATAATGCTATTTCAGTAATAATTTGTATGTAGATAATTATTATCGATTGTCTTTCAATTTTTGATTATTTGTAGACTCAAGCTTACGGGAATAGTCCAGGGGTTCCACAGCAGCAGTTCTTTTTCAAACGTCTTCTCCTATTCAGGAAAGAGAAGAACACGAACACCGCCAACTGAGAACGGGAAAATAAATATTAAAAATAATATTAATAATCTTACTCCAACAAAAATGAGCCCAAAACTAATCCAAAGGACAGTACCATCCCAACCAGCACAGCTTGTTCCTCTGTGCAAGTAAACAATAACATAAATCAGAGCATTAATCAATCGCTATGAGTTCTCACCTTGTCATTTTTTATCTTTGCAGTTTTAGTAGGCGTGGCTTTATATCTAATTACCTAATTAATTATTCTACTGAATTAATGAGCCCCACCCAACTTTAGCAGATGAAGTGGCTTGCTGTTTATTGGATTTTTCTTTCTCTGGGATCTGGATATTTAGAATGTCTTGATTCAGGATCAGGATCAGGATCAGGATCTGGTGATAATGCAATAGACAGTAGTATGTTGTGTGTCACAAATATAAGCCCAATTGAGCAAGATCCTACCAGTGTCACATTACCAACTGATATCACATTGTCAATTGATATCACATCAACAACTGATATCACATTGTCAATTGATATCACATCAACAACTGATATCACATCAACAACTGATATCACATCGGTAACCAATGTCAGTATCACATCAAATGTCAATATCACACCAACTATGACTATGAGCATCAGTGTCACATCAACAAACAATTTCAATGTCAGATCAACAACTCATGACAATGTTAATATTGCATTAACCAGTGTCATATCAATGGATTGTTGGTGTGTCTCTGATGCACCATCAACTGTTACTGTCACACAGACTATTACTGCATTTCCATTGCCTCTTGAGGCTACCATTGTTACAGGTGCTAGCAGTGGTGTACTTCTGGCATTATTGATGATCATTGTAGTGATTTTACTGATTGTTATCATTTCTTGTCTGTGAGTTGTGCAGCTTCTTGACATTATATCAAGTGAGATTTATATTTTTAGGAGCAAAAGGTCCAAAAAGAAGAAAGCGATGATTTTTCCAAGTGACAGAGCATTGGAAAGCATTAGATTAAAAGATGCACTTTCACTGCAAAGCTATGATCATACTAATGAGCTAGCAGACTGGTGATAATGCTTAATTTTTACATTTTCCCATATTTTTGTGAATCATTTATATTCATTCTGTACATGTTAATTTTAAAATATTGTGAGAAAATATATCTGCATACATGCCACTGTTGCTCAGTTCTATCATTCATTCTGCTGAAGAGTTAGCTCATATGCAGTACTCTCCACCTTTATATCAAAAAATTTCAGGGAGCTACTTCTTGTACTCTACCTATAATCTACTGCTAAACCTTGGTCAAGGTAATATTCAGGATCAGGAGACAACATAACTATTGAGGAAAGTGAGTTAAGGAGAGGTTTCCTAGTCTCGCCCCGCCCCTTCGCTACCTACAGAGGAAGGGTCTGGAGCTGGAGACACTCATGCATGGTAAAAATGTGTGCAAAGAAGTCCACGTGGTTGGCTCTACATCATGTGACAGAGGAGACCAGATCAGTCAAAACAGCTGAAAAAGATGCTTTGCAGCTGAAAAAAGACAAGGATAAAGCCTCTTGGACATCTCTTGCAGATTTGAGAGCAGTAGCTCTTTACAGAGCGCCATAATAGTTACTTTTTATTGATGACGTTTAATGTAAACATGTGACAGTACTATTACGTCATAAGTGCGATGGCGTCGTTGTAGTAAGCAGCATGATAATGCTGCTCTTTAACTTTGAGAAAGAAGTCCAGGGAGTGTTACAGGCTCCTTCCTTCCTTTATTTGGTCCTCATTCTTCTTCTTTTGTCTTAAACAGAGCTCTTCGGTCACATGACTTCTTGTCCTACACGTGGTTCGAGCAATCTGATTGGGACGTGGATTTCTCTGCATGAGCACAAGTTTAGACTAGCATGCAGTGTCTCCAGACCCTTCCTCCGTCGTAGGTAGCGAAGGGGCGGGGCGAGACTAGAGGTTTCCATGACTATAATAATAATAATCATAATTGTTCCATGCCATTTAATGGCATGGAACAATTATGTTTCAGTTTTCATTGTGTAGTAAGACAACTACCGTCATTCCAACTATTATTATACCTCCAGCATATTTTATAAGATTTATAGCTATCATAGTAGCAAACACTATAGATAAACCTTGTCATTTTTATCTATGCTGCGCTGTTGTAAATAGTGGGCGTGGCTTACAGCTTATTACTACAGTCTAATTAGTCTAGGTTATCTGAATTAATGAGCCCCACTCAACTTTAGCAGATGAAGTGGCTTGCTGTTTATTGGATTTTTCTTTCTCTGGGATCTGCATATTTAGAATCTTTCGACTCAGGATCAGGATCTGGTGATAATGGAACAGAAGTGTGTTGTGTTTTGTAAGCATAAATGTACTATTTTATCTCATAACAGGCACCAACACCAACAGTTTGTCGGTGTGTCTCTGGTGGTAATAATACAATCATCAACCTTGCACCAACCATAACTGTCACTGTCACACAGACCATTACTGCATTTCCATTGCCTCTTGAGGCTACCATTGTCATTGGTGCTGGCAGTGGTGTAGTTCTGGCATTATTGATGATCATTTTAGTGATTGTTGTAATTTTATGTTTGTAAGTTACACAAAACTTCTTCACATTATATGAAGTGAGATCTGTATTTTTAGTAGCAAAAGGTCAAAAAAGAAGAAAGCGGCCATCTTTCCAAGTGACAGAGCATTGGAAAACATTAGATTAAATGATGCAATTTCCCTCCAAAGCTATGATGATACTGATGAGCTAACCGACTGGTGATGATGTTTAATTTTTACATTTTCCCATATTTTTGTGAATCATTTATATTTTGTACATGTTAATTTTGAAATATTGTGAGAAAAACATCCGCATACATGCCACTGTTGCTCAGCTCTATCATTCATTCTGCTTAAGAGTTAGCATCATAACTATTATTTCCTCTTGAGTGTGCATTGATGAATAAATCTAGCTCATATGAAGTACTCTCCACCTACTTATATCATGAAAAATTTCAGGGAGCTACTTCTTGTACTATCTATACTGCTAAACCTTGGTCAAGGTAACAATAATTTATATTCAGGATCAGGAGACAATATAACTATTGAGGAAAGTCAGCTAAGAAGAGTTTCCATGACTAATAATCATAATTGTTCCATTATTTGTATATAGGTAGTTCTTACTACACAATGGAAACTGAAACATCAGTTATCCCGACAACGACCGTCACTCCAACTACTATTATACCTCCAGCATATTTTATAAGATTTATAGCTATCATAGTAATAAACACCATAATAGCTATGGTAATGTTGACTATTCCCCTCTTAATCTGCCTGTAAGTTGGCTTTATGCATGGATTCTACTAAACCCTGTGTACAATCATGATTTTACAGGTTCTGCAAAAGGAAAATGAAAAAGAAAGCAGTGGTTGTACCAAATCCAGAGGGATCTAATTCACTGACAGGTGCAGAGGAAAGATCATTGGCTGAATACTTGACAAAGCCAGAAAATGAAGTGGCAACAAACTGACATAGTGCAAGATTTCAAAAACAAAATAAACAACAACTCTTGTTATGGGCATTTTTAAAATTTAGTTTATAGAGTTTTAT